CGCCCGAAAATGCCTGTTGAAAGTTTGGCCAGCGCTCGCTGAAAGAAATCATTTGCCGAGCGCTTGCAAAAATGCTGTATTTCTGCCCGCTGGCAGAATATGCGACCGTAAAGGAAGTGCCGCCCGCTGAAGGTTTGGCCACGCCCCAAAATTCTGCTGACCGCCTGCAGAAAAGCGCGAGATTGCGGATCGCCTGCCCCCGGCGATTATCTGAGTAGAAGTTGCTTGGAGTCTTTGCATTCATCTACACCTCATCCATGCTATTTGTGGGCAAAAAGGATCCTTGTGAGAGGCATAAAAGTGGGCGGGGTTCGCCAAAAGGGGCGGGGCTAATACATGAAGTACATCTGAGTATGTTGATTATATGAACAAAAACTGAGAGGATTGGACAGATAGTATTGAATTTAAGGCCGCCGCGCACCATTGCGCGGCACTGTCGTCAACGTGTTAACTACTACATGATGTCCTTTGAATCTTCCTTTCGATACCATTTTATGCGAAATAGGTGTATATGGGTATTTTAGAAAGCCACTCATTGTTGAGTTTGTGTAAGCTTGATATGATGTGAGTGCTGGTGAAGAATACGGAAGCATTCATTCATTTCGGACTGTGTAGACATAATAACGCAGCAGTCATCGGTGTAAGGGCAGTACATCAGAACTACGCATGCTGATACTGATTCCTCAATTTTGCTGAAAAGCAAGCCGCTGGCCCATCGTCAGTTCTGTGTTTTGGGGGTAGTAATTCCCAGACCATTTGAGGGTGTTATACAGGGCTTTACAACCTGAGTGTCACAGCCGCCCCGCTCGGCCGCCACGCTTAGGTCCGCGCAGCGTTTGCGGTGCTGGCTGCGCGTCGACTGAAGCTTGGCAAAAGCCCGGGCGATACGCCGCAAACGCCGCGCGCGGCCTGAGCGAGGCGGCCGCGTTGGAGGAGCCGCGCAAGCGGAGGCTGTGACTCTTATGTTGAAAAGCCCTGTACCTCAAAGGCAGTGTCCGGGCAAAAACTCGATCGTGAGATTTTGTGCTTACCCGGGTCTATTCGCTACGCTGAATCTGAGAATGCACACTGGAGAGCGCGGAATCGGCGAAAAAGGGCTATAATACAGGAGGGAAACCAGCAGGTGGGCGGATCCCCTCTGTGAGTTCACTCTCCCAGCTTCCGAAGCGATCTTCTCACTTCCGGTTTCAGGTCATTCGCACTTGGCCGGTGGCGATGTAAGGACGGTTAGCGGAATCGAAGGCCGTTCCGCAGGCTGAGAGCGCGAATTCACAGTGGGGAGGAACCCGCCCACTTGATGTTTCCCTCCTGCGTTAGAGCCCTTTTTCGCCGTTTTCGCGTTTTCCAGTGTGAATTTTTGGGCTCAGCATGGCGAATAGGCTCGGATAAGCACAAAATCTCAAAATCTAGTTTTTGCCCGGTCATTGCCTTTAAGCATTCCTTGATTAGAACCAGTATGCATCCTTTGTTCAAAATGAAAGTAATCGTGTCATAAGAATGAGTCAACATTTCAAACATTGCTTGCAGTGCGATTGATTGTACAGTGACGTTACATCAAAAAATTACAAAATTCGATTACCTTTCTACTAATATCCACGTCTCGCAACTGTTTCTTTGATTATGAACTAAGGATTTCTCTGATGCTGGTAGAATTACTTGCGATAATCGGCAAACTCTGAGGCATTATTTTGCATAAAGGTGTAAAATTACCCTGAAATCATCTTGGCGAGAAATCCTGAACGACGATGGCGCAAAAGCAGTGTCTCACCAACATTTGGTAGTGAGTATTTTTGTGTATTTCAACCCTCTTCGACTAGTATAACCTAGTGCGAGTCCATAATCGCATGAAATGTACCACACCCCGTTTTTTGAATGTCCCTTGAATACAACGGGGACGAGTTATGCCCTATCAGCTTGGCCTCCGCCACAGTGGCAGAACACCATGAGAAACCCTAAGACCCGTACGCACGTAAGTGCCCGCTGGGAAGGGGAGAGGATCTGAGAGGGGATGCGTCATATGTCGCTATTCTAGGTATCTTACTTCTTCCTTCTCTATCTTGCTTATGAAGGCTCTCATACCTTTATAACTGCGCGTTATGGATGCCAGATTACTTCCATGCAAGGCTGGTTTTTTGCCATTTTGTGTGATCTCCAGGCAGCTCTCATTTTCAAAGTCATTTATCGTCGTGAGAAGTTAATGAAAATGCTGCAAAATTGTACTTAGGATATACTAAGCCACTGCTAAGCATGTTTCGACAGGGGAAAAGGAATCTGAAGATTGTGAATTTTTCGGTAATCCCTAACTCGCGAGCAGTGATTCATCGAAGATTTCGATACTCTGAGATTTTACTTATTTCTACTATAAACATGTTTAGCAGTGCCGCCGTGACCTCAGTACAATTTTGCAGCATTTTCATTGATTTCTCAGAAACATAAACGACTGTGAAAATGAGAGGTGATCCCAGGGATCGCACAGAACGGCAAAAAATCAATCTTGTATGGCAATAACTTGGCATCCATTATGCGCAGGTATAAAGGTATAAAGACTTTCATAGGCAAGATAGAGAAGGAAGAAAAAAGATATCCAGATTAGCGAGATATGATGCATCCCTTCTCAGATCCCGTCCCATGGGTGCGATAGGGGGAGCCGGCCCTCTCAAGATAAAGGGGTCCCTGGTACGGCCATCCTTCTTAGGTGAAGGGGGTAAGTGAGCCCTGAAAGCAAAGTGCTCCAACAAGTACATACCATTCGAAAGCTGAGGCCATGTAGAATCGACGTAGGCCGTCGATTTTTTCCAGATCTTCTGTGCCGCGAGATATAAGAGATTTTATGTACTTCATATATCAACTGATTTTGTGTTTCACTTTCTGCTCTTCATGTGAATGCTACGAGAAAGTCGACGGCCTACGTTTTTTAATGAAGACTTGCTCTATAACATAGATAGATAAACAGCAGTGATTAGGTTTTCATTTGGCAGCAATCTGCTGTTGAAAATGGACATGATTTCAGATAAAATGCAGTGTATCTCTCGGTAGAGGGGCTAGAAAGAAATCGACGGCCTACGTCGAATTTCCTTTCCTGATCTTTCGAATGGTATATAAATTGCTGGGCGAAAAAACTTGCCAGTTTTTGAAAATGGGGTGGAGATATTTACTATTAGCTTGCCCCACCCAGCTCCTCCAATGTATTGGCTTTTATGGGTCACCGGAACAAGCACTTTTTTGAACCCGGAAAGCTCGATGCGTCAACAAGCTATATGCCATTCGAAAGCTGAGATTATGGAGAACCGACCCAAGCCATCGTCACTTTTCTATCTCTTCTTAGCATGAGATATGAGGGATTTATCTAACCGATATAGCTACTGATTCGCTTTAGCTGACAAAAAATGCATTTAAATTCCTTCCGTTTCATAAAGAAAGTAATCTTACTATCGTAGTCATTTATTATTCACGGTAATCACTGCTTATCAAACTGAGCTGTTTTTGCCGTCTTTAGCAAGACCTTTTTGGTTTTTACGAGCATCGACAACTTACAAGGGAATGGTCAGAAATCGAAGTGGCCAATCTATACAAGCTGCAAACCGTTCGATGCACCATAAAATGCTGATTTCAAATCTGTCTTCCATATCTGCAGAGCGCCTTTGTGGGCGAAGTTATGAGCAGCTTTAATGCGAAAAAATCATGTACAAAAATTGCCAAAACAAGCACATTATTGCTCTTTCAGCTCATCTCTAAGTACGGGTCGTATAAAGTAGACTAGTTGCATGTTTTGGTCCAACACTGAGCCGAGAATGGCTTTTTACGGCCAAGTCTGCACTTTACACGTACAATTTCTCAGCAAAATAATGGCTTTAACGGCTTATAATTTCGTCCACAAAAGCGCTCTGCAGATATGGAAGACGGATTTACAGTCAGCGTTTTATGCTGCATCTAATGGTATGCAGCTTGTATGGATTGGCCACTTCGATTTCTGACCATTCCCTTGTTAGTATAGACTTACCATAGATATAGACTTACTTACTTGTTGGTTTTTTCTTGCTTCTCTTACAAGCGAAGGCGTCTATCTGTTTATCCTCCTTAAAACTGTGACAAGCCTTAGAAAAAAAGGGCGAAAAAAGTACTGTGACAAGCCTTAGAAAAAAAGGGCGAAAAAAGTAACTACTGTAATAATTCCCACTGTAACTGCTAGAAATTCTTCTTTTCATGGAATTGTGGTTGTTGTGTTTCACGACTGAGGTGAATCTCTAACAGCTTTTTAATCATGGTTCACTTTTAAATTACTTCCTCAAATCAGCCTCAGGTGAAGGGGGTCATCCGGGTTCTGGCTCAAACGTGAGGGAGGTAAGATCCATTGCTCCCATATCGCAACTCTGTCCCGTCCCCTCCCCAGCGAGGATGTACAGGGCTTTACAACCTGAGTGTCCCACCCGCCCCGCTCGGCCGCCACGCTTAGGTCCGCGCAGCGTTCGTGGCGCTGGCTGCGCGTCGACTGAAGCTTGGCGAAATCCGGGCGATACGCAGCAAACGCCCGCGCGGCCTGAGCGAGGCGGCCGCGTTGGAGGAGCCGCGCAAGCGAAACTTGCGACTCTCAGGTTGAAAAGCCCTGTACGTGCATACGGGAGCATGTTGAAACGCGCGGAAGACCAGAGCGTCCTGCAAATTTTTCGCCGTAGATGAGCTCGGATTGTGTTGGACTCAAGAAGGTCACTATTAAGAGGGTCCCCTAAAATTGTGGAGACCCGACACTAACCCAATGTGGTAATACACTGCCTCTAAGTATAGGCCGTCCGCGCAGGGCACGGAGAGTGCGCAAGGTGTGCATTGCGCGTCACTCCTCTTTCCCGTGCACTCTCGCCGCCTGTTTTTCTCTGCGCTCAACTATCTTCACTGGACGCAACAGCGTTGCTCTCCGCGCGCAGCGCGGACGGCCTATAGCTCAGCTGAGGCGTTGAAGTCAGCTACGGCAGCTGCCGGGTAACACTTGCTACAGACCCCCTCACACATCAAACCACATATTTATCAAGCAGAGAATAAAACTATACATTTACAGAGAATATGACACATGCTCAAAATAACATGCACTTGATGATCACTTAGAACTTTATACAGTGTGGATTCATAAAATGCTCGATACTGATACCATACTGCGACTGAACTGTTTCCATCAAGTTTGCTTCTCGCTTATTTTTTACCAGATTGACTACAGTTCTTTCTCTCTCGAGATCCGTTGGTGCCACGCGGCCCACATATCCTTTCGCTTTCCTTGGCATTTCATAGTTGACAATAACAGAGATCTAAAAAGGTAATTTCAGGAGAAACGAGTGAAGAGGCAATGGGGAAACAATGTAAAATTTTCTACATTTCTTGAGACAAAGTGTGTCGCTTCCCACTACAAGCGAAGTTTCCAAACGTTAGGAACCCGTCATACTTCGCCAAGAAAAGCCCAAAGGGTCCAAAAAGCCCAAAGGGCTCAAAAAAGCCCGGAAGCGCCAGAAAGAGCCCGAAGCAGAAAGAATGGTAGAATGACATTATTTTGATGTGCAGACGACATGAACCAAAAAACTGGTTGCGAAATCAACACACATGCGCCAAAACGTACGCGGGAAGGGGGCGTTCCGGCTCTTTCTGGCCCTTTTGGGCTTTCTTGGGCTTTTTTCGGCGAAGTATGACGGGTCCCCAAATGAAGTGCACAAGACTGCGAATGCATGATGAAGTTGCGCGTACTCCTGAATGCGCGGCAAATCTAGTTCATGCAAAAGCAAGCTCCATAAAAATTAAGACATTATGGAAAAGTAGACACCTCTTTTTCTTTGAATAGATTAGCTGAGGTCTCCGTGATCAAAACCACTCCTGACGAAGATGACTCAAACTTCTGCATCTCTTCTCTAAATTTCTTCGTCTTCATACCAACAAGACAAACTACGCGATAGCCTCGAGCCGCTAAGTGTTCCTGGATCCATGTAGCCTAAGTAAGAAAAAGACCTATCATGACAATGACACTGAGTATCCGCAGTAAGCCAACCACCTTTTTCGGCCATTTACATATGATCACTGTCTTTTCGTACTCCAACTTCGTATACAAATCACAAAGCACTTCAAACTGAGTCTTCTAAAAAAGCAAAACATCCTCAAATTCGCAACTGTTGAACCTATACCTTCGCAGCCACATTATTTCTGCAAAAGTCACGAGACTGCTCACTCTGTTGATCGTCTAAATGCTCCCACATAATCTAATACAAGTTTTCTTTCAATTCACCTTGTACTTCAATACATATGTGTCGTCTTCGGTTTATCACAGGTTCACGCGGTTCGCTTGTGGCAAGCTTTTCGTATGGGGATACAGCGTTGTCATCAGCTTCACTCGCATGTATTAGTTCCTTTCCTGATAGCAGGACGCACTAAAACAAACAACAAACGTTGAAATATTGAGCATAAGGGAAAAGCTATGTATAGAGCAAATTCGCTAAGGTAAGAAATTATGCAAGTAATGATTAGTCCCAGTCGAAGGCGGCTCGCTATATGCGGTAAACGCATACGAACGCTGTGCGGGGCCAATAGCCACCGGGTGGTCAGTATTCTTTACTGTGTTCTTCACATGCCCTCAGCGAGGACACTTGCTTGACCGCAGCGTTTCCGTCCATCCGCTTTGAACGAATACGCTTACATCCGGGACTAACAACTATCTGTTCTATCTGCGAATCACTACGAATTCTATAAAATTAAAGAAATTTTAGTTTCGCTGGTAAATTAAGTGCCCAGTGCGGTGAAAAGGGAGTAGAGTTTGACACAGATTTAAATCCGGTTGTAAATTAAATCCAAAACCGAAAGTCTTTCAGACAGCATACCCCGGTCAAAAGATGACTATTTATAAAATAAGACCTACATGGTAGTACGTAACATACCTGAACACTTTCAGGCATAGACTGGATTATACCGTGCAGTAGAGTTTTGAAACCAGTGCAGAAGAGCTCATCCGCCTTTACCATTACCAAAACTTTTATGGTGTCCGTATCTGCAAAACCAACAAAAATTATCAATTGCATTCTAAAGCACTGGAAAATCTTTGCACAGATGTTTGGTAACATTGAGCTCCGAATACTCTGAATTTATATCTTCCGTACAGTAAGTATAATTATACAGGGTGTCCCAAAAGTATGTGTGCACTGTTTGATCGTTAACATCTCTCTTCCCAAGAAGTCTTTCGCCTTGCTTTAGGTACCACTAGCTGGCTTACCCGGCTCCGCCGTATCCGGACCAAACTTGGCACACATACACTTCGGGCCCCGGCGGGTGTCACAGTTTACTTTTCGTTATCGATCGATGTCGATTTTACCGATTTTTTTGCAGAGTTCACCTACAGGGCTAGGAGTTAGCTCAGGGGGGGAAGTGAGCATGGGAATTCCGAATACAACATTAGTTTTCAGGATCGTCCATTACTTTTATCGATTTTATCGATTTTTTTTGTAAAGTTTGACCTGCGGGGCTGGGAGTTTGCACAGGGGGGTAATCGAGCATGCTGATTACGAACACAATATTAGTTTTCAGGATCGTCCATTACTTTTATCGATTTTATCGAATTTTTTTTGTAAAGTTTGACCTGCGGGGCTGGGAGTTTGCACAGGGGGATAATCGAGCATGCAGATTACGAACACAATAATAGTTTTCAGGATCGTCCATTACTTTTTCGATTTTATCGATTTTTTGAAAATTTGAGCTAGGGGGCTGGAATTTGGCACAGGAGTGTAATCGAGCATGCTGATCACCCCCCTTGGGGGTGATCAGCATGCTCGATTACCCCCCTGTGCCAACTCCCAGCCCCCTAGCTCAAACTTTGCAAAAAAATCGATAAAATCGATAAAAGTAATCGATAATCCTGAAAACCAATATTGTATTCGGAATCCCCATGCTCGATTACCCCCCTGTGCGAACTCCCAGCCCCGTAGCTCAAACTTTGCAAAAAAATCGATAAAATCGATAAAAGTAATCGATAATCCTGAAAACCAATATTGTATTCGGAATCCCCATGCTCGATTACCCCCCTGTGCCAACTCCCAGCCCCGTAGGTGAACTCAGCAAAAAAATCGATAAAAATCGATAAAATCGATATCGATCGATGACGAAAAGTAGCCTATGACACCCGCCGGGGCCCGTAGTGTATGTGTGCCAAGTTTGGTCCGGATCGGTTCAGAAATGGAATTTTCTATTCGGAACATACGTACATACAGACAGACATACAGACAGACAAACAGACATTCAGCTTTATATATAAGATTTTATAGAGCTGGCTTCAACTTAGAGTTACAGTATGGAGAGAATCATTGACCGCTCTTCGTTACTGTAGGATTACGGTAGAAACTTTAAACATATGGTCTTAATATGGAAAAAGCTGCCATTTCAAAATTTTTCAAAAAAAATGTGAAAACTTGTGTAATAGAGATTTTATGGACGCTGAGTTCAATACTTAACTATTCATAAGATTGCGAAAACTCTAATTAGCCTAGTGTAAAAGTTTTCAGGCTGTTTTGCTTCTTTTCTGAGGCAAAATATGGCCTTTCATGGCTCAAAACCCTCCTTGAAGTTTCTACCGTAATCCTACAGTAACGAAGAGAGATGGGTGATTCGTTCTATACTGAAAATCTAAGTTGAAGCCAGCTCTACAAAATGGTACCTGAAGCAAGGCGAAAGACTTCTTGGGAAGAGAGATATTGACAATCAAACAGTGCATACATACTTTTGGGACACCCTGTATAATTATACCTGATCCCCAGGTGTGCAAAATTTATTATATTAAGGCTGTGAAATTGATCAAGCTTTGCACAAAACAGTTCCCGATTCGAAAAAACAGGAAAAGTAACAGTTTGCTATCAATGGTGTTACCAACTAATAACCAAACTCACGCAGGAACTGGCGTCTTAATAGATGACATGCTCGCTGAGGTGATGCTATAAGGGCATGAACACCGTTACTCAATACATAGCCATCATCTCGCAGTTTGGTCTGTTCACAGCAACCGTGTACCAAGATTTTCGTGCTTGAGAGGGATTTTTGCAGTTCGTCCAGAATCTGTAATAATGCTTTTTGACTTGCAAGTATCTTATTATTAGATTTTTGGTGAATCTGTCTGCAAATGGGAAAGAAGGTATCTTTCAGACATCCTTGTGAGGGAAAAAGTCAACCTGTTTGACATCCTCTTTTCTCGGAGCAATGACCAGCACTTGCACAGCTTTCTTGTCTACATCCACGCCCCGTATAGCGGCCAAAATGTGATGAGTGTGAGCTGTGAAATTCGCCCGATCGTGTTCGTCTTCCAAAGGATCTGAAAAAAAAGCGTAGTCAGGTTGGGACTTTTTGATTCGAAGGGACGGAAATACTTTGAGATGAAATTTGTTATCGTCTGATATTATACGCATAAGCTCATCCACAGATAAACAGATATCTAAATCGGCGCCAATAGCCATAGGTTTTCAGCAAGCAGTTTTTAGCATAATACATTGCAAAGCCAGATCACCGATGATGGCAGAAATAGACTTTCTTCTTAGGCTCTTTTTCACAAACTCTCCTAATTAAATCCAAGTCTGTAGAATTAAAACGTTTTCTGCTCCAAGAGGATGTTGACTTCAACCATGTTCCTCTTTTCACATGGCGCTATCCTTAGCGATTAATGAAAATTTAGAGAACTAGAGAGGAAGAAGGCAAACAAGGAAGATCTCATCTGTTAGTCAGCGGTGCCACGACTACCGCTGGTGTGTGCGTATCAAGGTCTGCCGACTGTCGCAGTGTGGCAGAGTCTATTGTCATTAGGGCCAATGCAGTAATCAAATACGTGGTCCAAAAAGTCCAAATCATATTTTACCTTCGCAATCCATTTCTTCCACGCCATCATCAATACCCGACTCGGGTGTGGGTACATCTCGTTCCGGTAAATCACTAGCTCCATCAAGAAAGTTGCACAAAGACATTTCCTTGCAATACTGCTCTAGCAGTCGTTGTGCCCGAGGCATACTGCTCGTGCAAACGCATTTACCTTTCTTGACAAATAGAAAAAATAATTACAAAACAATGATAGTACTGATAGGACTGATGTTACCTGAATGTCTTCAGGCAGTGAAGTTATTATTGAAGATACTGCTTCTTTGATATCCTTGCTTAGTAATGGGCGGAAATTGTACATAACAAATAGATCGAGGGCATTGAGTACTGAATATAGAGAGAATTGAAGCTGTACTCAGAAGTCCTAAGGCTTGATCAACAGTGAATCAACGGTGATTATCATGAAGATTTCGGAAAGAGTACGAGTAGGGTTTCCTAATGTGTTCTTTCTTCTCAAACAAAAAGGAAAGGTGCGAGGTCTTTGTGAGTAAAAGTAAAAAGAGATACTGAGAGAACTTGCCCAGAAACCCTAGAGAGATCATGTGCTTTACGCGGCCCGGAGTACCAACGATAATATGAGCACCGTTCGCTAGCGCTGACTTTTCCTCATTTACAGAAGTTCCTCCAACGCAAGCATGCACTTCGATTGACATAGGTTCAGCAATGTTTTTCATCGCCTGGGTCATCTGGAAATATAGCAACTCCTTACAGCACAACCAACTTTTCACCGAGACAATCTTCAATCCTGGTTTGTTTTATGATTGAGGTCATCTTTTCGTGAAAAGCGTACATATGAATCAACTTGCCTGTAGGGCTAAATCTCGAGTTGGCACCAAGACTAGAGCCTGGACATGGTCATTGCTTCTCTTGAGGCGGCTGAGAAGTGTCTTCAAGTATTCATCGAAGGTATAGTCGTTCGAGAACTGCTCAGAATTATCAACATCCCTCGCGAAGAAAACTGTACAGAACTAACTGGTAATATATAGATGTTGCCTAATATTACAAAACCTACCTCGATCTTCATTTAGCACTAATGAAGACTCGGTCGACGTCATGAGGAACCCAACTTAGTGACTCAGAAGTTAGTAGAAGCAGTGTAAGTGGAGTTAGGGCCGTAGAATGGAATGCGTTCTCTGACATTCGGTCCGTGAGGCGCGCGCGTGCTCCCCGTGCGGCGCCTTGTAGTGCGAGGGGGCCGAACGCTCCGTGCGCGGGGGCCGAACGCTCCGTGCGCGCGGGCCGAACGATGAATGCGCGCGGGCCGAACGGTGAATGCGCGCGGGCCGAACGGTGAATGTGCGCGGGCCGCACGGTATCGAAAGCGCTCCGTCCGCAAGCTACTAGAGAATAAGTCTCTTTCATAGACCTTCTTTTTCTTCTTTCGTCGTGCCGTGAGCATTCTCAACTTCACAGTCCAAAAAAATTCCGAATTCAAAAAATTCGAAAATTTGAATTTGAATTCACAGAATTCAAAATTCAAATTCAGCACCCATTCGGGACGCTGTCGAGAAATAACCTCCGTAGAAGTAAAAAACTTCTTATGTTTCTGCGATTACAATGCCAAGAAATGATACCTAAGTCAACTCCACAAGTGATGGAGCAGCCTAATCATAGCGTCGTACCTCACGCAGGTACCTGTTACGCTTATAGCGTGTGAGAATTGGAGGCGCGCGGGCGGCACGGGGAGAATATATTGCGCGCGGGCCGTACGCTAAGGATGCAAGGCGCGCGGGCCGCACGGTACATGACCCCGCCCGTAAATCTAGGCGCGCGGGCCGCACTGCTGGCCATTAACAAGCGCGCGCCGCACGCACCGAATGTCAGAGTTGGAAATCGAGGAAATCACAGCACGGGTCCCGCCACTCGCCGTGAGAAGTCGATCATCTTTGATCTGCTACCACGGGCTTCCAGATTCGTGTAGAGGTGGTAAATAGGCTTCCAGATTCTTGCCAACTCACCGCGTAGCGGTTTTTGCTAGCGAGAGAGTACGAAAAGCAGTGCTATGACGAGGAGGTTTAGCAAGTTTACCTGTGTTATCAGGCAAAGTCTGCAATACACCTCCACACGAATTTGGAAACCGATCATACATCTATGATTTTCCTTCGCGACCTCGTTTCTTCTACGATCGTCTCCACGATTCGTGTAGGGGCGGGTTGTAGACTCTCTGATTTTAAGGATGAACTTGTTAAACCTCCACGTCATAGCATTGTTTTTCTACTCTCTTACTATCAAAAACCGTCACGCTTTGAGTTGGCAAAACCCCGCCCCTACACGAATCGTGGAGTTGATGATACCTGTGGGTATAGGACAAGACGAGGCCAAAAGAGGAGGTCCCACGGGGGCATTTAACTAATCCCATAGCTTTGCAAATTACGAGCTCGTGCCAGATACGCGCCGATGAAGCCTACCGGCGACAATTGCCTCCAATAATGCCAGCATTCTGCGCGCGCAAATGGAAGGCGTCACAGGCATTGCTATTTCTTCACGCGCAGATTTTACCGCATTTCACCAACAGTGCAAGCACGCTATATTAAGCGGAAAATCTACTCGACTGTACAAGGGTGTGTACAGTCTGCCCCAATCCTAATCAGGCCAAAATTGGCTGGCGGGAGTGCGCATCGCGATGGTTTCGCGCCACTTCTGCGTCTAGCTAATCTGCCCTCTTCTCAATCTCTTCGCTCTCTGCAACAGCGCGCGTATGCAGCGCAAACCCCTAGCGCTGCGAGCGCGCAAATTCAGCCGACGGTTCGGCCTGATCCCGATTGGGGCAGACTGTATTTGTCGCAAATGACCGCAGGGACCGCCCTTTTTCGGCGACATATAGTCCTCTACCCTACAGCTGCACGTCAGGAGGTACGCCGCGCGCGGCGGCCGCTCTGCTAAATTTCGCGCCGGTCGTACCCTCGATATCAACCCATATGTCTTTCCTCAACATGATGTGGATTACGTGGATTGATGAGGCATCGCCTCGCTTCGGGCTCGCGCCACGTTGCGAGCGCATCGTTTGTCGCGACGTGGCGCAGGCTTTTCCACTTGATCTTGTTGCCAAATCACGCCGAAGATGCGCACGCAACGTGGAGCGACCCCGAAGCGAGGCGGCGCCTCGTCAATCCACTAATCCACGTCATGTTGAGGGAAGACATATGGGTTGATAACGAGGGTACCTCCTACCGTTCCCCCTAGTTATACGACCTCCGACGACCGACGTAGTTTTTAAAATTGTTTCAGCTAATTGAAAGCTAGCATCCGATGGCAAAAAAGCATTTCAAAAGAAAGAAAACCAAGAAGCTCAATGCGCGAACAATGGCCGCGAACTCACCCACTCTCGCGACATGCAGAGCCTTATAGGCACCGTCCACCCAAATTCTCGATTTCCATGTTTTTGTCGCTTCCAGGCCTTCTGAAGGTCCTGATTCCGAATATGTAGTCGAGAATCCGCGAAATAACCAAAAAAACCCCATTTTGGAGAACGGCGCAATGCAAGTCGCAGGCGGCGCGGCGACTTGCATTGCGGCGCGCTATACTCCCGGCGTATATCAACGCCGCAGCCCGCCAAACCTGCAAAACGGGCAGAGTGACCAGGTGGGCGGAGTGACCAGCTCCGGATTACGTCCTTCCGGAGCGGATTTCTCGCTTGGGAAGGAGTCTTCTGTGGCGCTATTTGGGGTTGGCCTAGTGTAGGGGCCTACATTAGTATGCCATTAAATCTCGTGAACCCCCACATTGGGTGGATGGTGCCTTTATAAAGGGCCGGGCATACTTCACGCGATTTCAGACGATTGCAAATATCATGCTCGTTCGCTGCAACAACGCTTCATTATAGAGTTACCACGAGCTATAGTGCGTGAAAGAGCAACTTTTTCGCTTTTCAGCCAAATTTAGATCCCAAAAATCTGCAAAAAGGCTTTATCTTGCAGACGATTGCGATGTACGTGGTCGACACGTCAGATAGCAAAGGTTCGAGCAGAGCTATCACTTTGTCCACCTACCCTAGACCCATCGTAATGGCGAGGTAGTTCCAAAACGCAAAAAGAGTATGGTATTCAGCGTGCTCAGGAGCCCCTCTAGGCAAAGTTTAAGCAAATTCGAGATTTTTAGCCATCTACTGCATCCACCGTAACACCGTAACCCGAGAAAACGGCGCTACCGAAATGAAAATGATTTTCATCTTGCGTGCCAAATATCCCCCCCCCCCCCAAACGAAGTTTGGGGCAAATCCAAGCCTTTGGCCCCTTACAATTTTACCGTAACTCGAACGGATGGCACTACCGTGCGAAATTGTGATATCCGTAATCAGCATGCAAAATAACCCCATTATACGAAGTTTCAACGAAATCCGCAACTTTCATTTTTGGGTCAACTAGTGTAGAATAGTACCAAATGTGCTTATAGTGAGTTATGGACAGCTGGAATATTGCCAACTCGCGTCGCGACTGAAGTCTCG